ATTTTCCCTCCCTTCCTCTCCCCTTCCCTCCCCACCCACCAGGATACTTCATGATCTTGCTTCCAGGGCAACTCAGCTCTAAATTCTCTAGAGGACCTTGACTAGGAAGGTATGGGCCATTGGGTTTGGTTTCTCTTTTACTTTTTCAGTGGCCAGGACTCTTGTGCCTGTCAGATGCCAGATCATTACCATCCTTCCTCGTGACCAACTACACCTTTCCCCTCAACAAACCCCTACCCCTTACAGACACACCAGACACAACAGCCATCAGGCTTTATTTTGTGAAGGATTTTATTGTGGAGGGTAATGCAGGAGAGTAGCTCCAGATAGGGAAGTGGAGCTGTGGTGTCCTCCAGTTACGTGGGTCCACAGGTGGTTTTTGGAGGCATCATGGGCTCTTGGGAATACTGCAAGATTACAGTTGGTGTCTGAGGTAGCTGATCAACACAGGAGGGATATCCAGCTGGTTGATGGCTTGTAGTTGGCCAGCCTGGGACAAGGCTCTGCGGATAACTAAACGGGCCTGTGATAGTAGTGACCGTGGGGTAGCTACAGCAGGGAGAAATAGGTCATGAGGAGCAATTCTCAGTGTAGCCCTCCACCCCTAATTGTTCGCTTCCTTCTCAGAAATGTTCCCTACTCTGCCCCCAATATATGATACAAAGGAGGACACACTGAGAACTAGACAGGGCTTGCTCAAGGCAACACAGCAGTCATTGACAAAGCCAAGACCATAAACTGGGCTAGTTCTACCCATCATCTCATCCTAGTGACCCCTTCCCTAATATGGAATATGTAACATTTTCTCCACTGGGATCCCAGGAGAGGGAGGAAGATGATGTTTTCCTCCATTCATCCTAAAAAGATTGGATTCAGGGGTGATATGGGGCCCTAGGACCCCCAATCCAGGAAGTTTTTGGGGCTGTCTTGCTCACCACTCACCTCGGGCCTGTAGCAGCAATGTAATGCCTTTACCGTCTTGCGAGGTCAGGTCCAAAGAGAGAGATGGAAGGTAGATGTTAGCACCAAAATCGATTAACAGCTGGATATACTCTGGCTCACAATTATGGTGGAGGCATATTTCAAGGAGGGTACGAGGTCGTGGGACACGAGCCAAAAGGCACCAATCTGTGCAGTTGTAGTCAGGGTCTGCCCCATGGAGCAAAAGCAGATGGAAACAGTCAAGATGCCCATAGACTGCTGCTAAATAGAGGGGGCCAGAACATGAACTTATGTTTGATGCCCAGACTGGTAGTTTGGCCTTAACGTTGGGCTCTGCACCATGACCTAGGAGCTCCTGTAGAATGGCAATAGCACCATCACGGGCAGCTGTGAGGACAGGAGAACAGTTGTTATAGATGCTGCCACCAGGACAAGCACCAGCTTCCAAAAGCACTCGCACACACTCCAGATGGCCATGACTGACAGCAGTGAAAAGGGGCGTTTGTGCCTTGACATCTAAGCTGTCGACATCAGCACCATGTGCCAGGAGGACCTTCAAGCAGCTCAGGTGTCCATAAGAAGCAGCCAGACGCAGAGGTGTCCCAGGAACACCCCAGCCACTCCTGCTGTTGATAAAACGTTTGTAACGCTCCTGGCGCAAAAGCTGGTCCAGTGTATAGGAGTCGTTGTCATATACTGCCTGATTGAGAGCCTGTTTCTCCCCCGTGTCAGTTTCCTCCTCCTCCTTGTCGGGCTGTAGGAGGGAAAAGATCTTGGTGATGTCCATGAAGTTCAACTTGGCTGAATGGAGCAGAAATATTTTCATTATGAGCAGGAAGATATGCCAGATCTGTGGGTGACAAAAAAACAAAGGAGACTGAGGGTCTCCATCAAAAGGTTGGATGGTAAACAACTCAAGCCCTACCCTACACCATCAGGATGCTCATCAATAGGCCTCCTGATTCTCACTCTCACTCCCACTGCCTTAATACAGCTGCAGAGACAGTTACCAAAACAGGTCAGGCCATTTCACAGCTTGGTGCCTTTACATATGCTGTTCTGCCTGCCCTACAAACTCTTCTAGGAAGCCTTCTCTAATATTTTCCTCTCCCTGCTCAGCGATTACAAAGGATTGCATCCAAACTTCAGCTATAAATTGTCACATGGCATCTCCACTTATCTGTGCTCCATTGGCGTGTGAACTCCAGGGTGAGGACTCTGCATCCATATGTATTCCTCCACCTCCAATAAAGCCTACATCTTGGCCAGGAATTTGGTTCCTCGACTCAGAATGCGTGGACTAATGATTTGGCTCTGGCCTGGCAGTTGCTAGGCCAACAGAACAGTGCTTTGTGGTGTCAAGGTGTCATCCCTTAGCATTCTGACATCAGTGTCATGGGCAAGCCTTCAACTCTACCTCTCAGCCTTTTAAATAAAGTGCAATTTTTTCACAAGTTTTGTGATCTGACCAAATCTCCCTCTCAGAAACCTGCCATGACCTCCTCTTAGACTCACAGTTTATACTTCAGGCAACAGAGGTGCTCAGAAAATGGATATTTAATGACATTTATTGATTAAATATACAGGTGGCATTGCAGAATACACACTTCAAGTAAAATGAAGGTAAATAGATGATAGGAAACAATTGAGGTTTCCAGGGCAAGTCCTCCTCTCTGATGACAATGGGTTTCTCCCCCAGTACCACCTCAACCCAAGAGTTGCTTTGATTATCAACACGTTTCAGAGCCTACTGCTTCCCCGCTCCTTTTGCTCAAGTCCCTTCCTATCCTTTCTTCTTGATCCCACCTGGAGCCTTGCTTCAACCCTCAACTCCAGGCCTTACAAAATCACCCATGGGCCCAGTGACTGACTCATTGACCTTACCAGTCCTGTTCCTAGTCCTTCAAAGTCAAGGTCACCTACCTCAGTTTGTAATGTCAAAAGCTGGTAGCTTTTTCAGAGCTCCCTTACTCTCCCATACCCTGCAGCCATGGTCTCAGGACCATGAACCACCAACTTTTATTTACTGTCCACTCCCATTATTCTTTGTTAGCTGGGGACCTCTGGTGCCCAACTCATAGAAAGAAAACTATGAGGTCAGTAGATGAGGTCACATTAAATTTTACCATCCTTATCCCCAACATCAACTACACATATACAGTCTTATAATTAATTTATTCTTGTGTTGCAATGGGAAGAACATCATTTTAGAAATCAGACAGAACTATGTTTGCAACTCAGCACCCACAGTTCCTGGCTGGGTAAGTCTTTACCCTTCTTTGGGATTCATTTTCCTCATCTGTAAGACAAAAATGATAGTTACTGCCTCATGGGTTTGTTAGGAAGAAGATAATTATCTTCTAATAGCTAATTTAATAGAAGATTTAACTTCCAAGGGGAGCTTCCTCTTTCTGCATCTTTAACCTTCTCACTGGTCCCTCCTTCTCAACTATCTTACAAAACAAAACAGAACAATTTCATTCTCCTTGTCCCACGGTAGCTACTTTCCTCTCTCAATCTCTCCCTTGTCTATCAAACTAATCCAAAGAGTTATCTCCCATCTACTTCCTTACCTGCTATTCACATTATGACCTTCTGCAGTCTGGCTATCCCCACTCTCCATCACACACTGAGATGGCTCTTGTAAAGGGCATCCTTGTGGCTAAATTTATGGGATGCTCCTTACCTCCTGTCTTCACTGACTTTTCTGGGACATCCATTCCCACCAACGACTCCTTCCTAGAAATGCCTGTCTACTTCCTAGCTAGTTCACTCTTCTGATTTGTCTCCCCATGTTCTCCCCTGAAATACTGATGTTCCCCCTTGTTCTCCTCTTCATTTATTCTTACCAGTCCCTGAATTTCAGCTCTCATCTTTATTTGGATTATATGAAACCTATCATTCTAACCTCCTAGCTGTCTCTTCAGCTCCAGGGATGTACCCATTGAATTTGAGGCACTTCAAAGTCAGTAGTATCAGCCCTATCACCGAACGTGGTTTATATCTCATTTCCTCATCATCTACCTGGTCATCCAAATGAAAAACTCAAGACTCATCTCAGTCCTCTTACCTCTTCCTCCACTCTAACACAACTGATCCTGTGGATTTTACCTCCTATAGACTTCCCCAGACCTTTCCCTATAGGCCTATCTCAGCCAATTCTTTATATGTTGTTGTTTAAGTCACCTCTGACTCATAGTGACCTTATGTACAACAGAATGAAACACTGCCCAGTCCTGTGCCATCCTTATAATTGTTAGGCTTGAGCCCATCGTTGCAGCCACTGTGTCAATCCATCTCATTGAGGGTCTTCCCCTTTTTTTGCTGACCCTCTACTTTACCAAGGTAATAGACCCTTCTGACAGCATGACCAAATTAGGTGAGATGAAGTCTGGCCACTCTCACTTCTAAGGAGCGTTGTGGCGGCACTTCTTCAGGGACAGATTTGTTCATTCTTCTGGCAGTCCATGGAATTTTTAGTATTCTTTGTCAGCACCACAAATCAAAGGCATTGACTCTTCTTTGGTAAAGTCTGGCCATTCTTGCTTCCAAGGAGCATTCCAGGAAAGATTTGTTAGTTCTTTTAGCAGTCCATGGTACTTTCAGCATTCTTCACCAACACCACAAATCAAAGGCATTGACTCTTCTTTGGTAAAGTCTGGCCATTCTTGCTTCCAAGGAGCATTCCAGGAAAGATTTGTTAGTTCTTTTAGCAGTCCATGGTACTTTCAGCATTCTTCACCAACACCACAAATCAAAGGCATTGACTCTTCTTTGGTCTTTCTTAATAATTGTTTAGCTTTCATATGCATATGAGATGACTGGGTTAGGATTGGGTTAGGCTCAGCTTATTCTTCAAAGTGACATCTTTGCTCTTTAACACTTTAAAGAGGTCCCTTGCAGCATGTTACCCCAGTGCAGTATGATGTCTGTTTTCTTGACTGATGCTTCCATGAGTGGCAATTCCAGACCCAAGTAAAATGAAATCCCTGACAACTTCAATCTTTTCTCCATTTACGTGATATTATTTATTGGTGCAGTGGTGAGGATTTTTGTTTTCTTTATGGTGAGGTGTAATCCACACTGAAGACCGTAGTCTTTGGTCTTCATCAGTAAGTACTTCAAGTCCTCTTCGCTTTCAGTAAGAGAGGTTGTGTCATCTGCCTATCACAGGTTGTTAATGATTTATTCCTCTAATCCTGATGTTGCATTCTTCTTCATATGCTCCAAGTTCTCAGATTATTTGTTCAGCATACAGTTTGAATAAGTATGGTGAAAGGATACAACCCTGATGCACACCATTCTTGATTTTAAACCATGCAGTATTTTTTGTTCTGTTTCAATGACTGCCTCTTGTTATATGTACAGGTCCCTCATGAACACAATTAAGTGTTCTGGAATTCCCATTCTTTGAAATGTTATCCAAAAATTTGTTATGATCTGTACAGTTGAACGCCTTTGCATAGTCAATAAAACACAAGTAGACAACATTCTGGTATTCTTTGCTTCCAACCAACAACTATCTAACATCAGCAATGATATCTCTCATTCCACATCCTCTTCTGAAGCTAGCTTGAATTTCTGGAAGTTTCCTATCAACGTACTGCTGCAACCATTTCTGAATTATCTTCAGCAAAATTTTACTTTCATGTGATATTAATGATATTGTTTGATAATTTCTGCATTCTATTGGATCACCTTTCTTTGGAATGGGCACAAATATCGATCTCTTCCAGTCAGTTGGCCAAGTAGCTATCTTCCAAATTTCTTGCCATAAACAAGTAAGAGCCTCCAGTGTTGCATCTGTTTGTTGAAACATCTCAATGGGTATTCTGTCAATTCCTGGAGCCTTTTTTTTCCCAATTCCTTCAGTGAAGCTTGGACATTTTGCTTTAATACCATTGGTTCTTGATCATATACTATCTTCTGAAATAGCTGAATGTCAGTGACTCTGTGTATTCATTCCATCTTTTTTTGATGCTTCCTGCATCATTCAATATTTTTCCCATGTTGTTGTTGTTGTTAAGTGCCGTCGAGTCATTTCCGACTCATAGCGACCCCATGCACAGCGGAACGAAAC